GGAAGATGAAAATCAGGGGTGACTTATGTTCAATATGGTCACCTTTGGTCTGGAAAGGGACAGACCCAGGGCAGCACTTCCCCTGGACACTGGCAGAGTGATGTCAGGAGCATTTAACAGAGAATAAGACCTGTACAGGGACACTTGCCATTTACTCTAAAGTGGCAAAGTCACAGCGACGTGGGCGGCTGTGCTGAGGCCTGCAGGTTCTCATCGTCGCGGGAGGTCTCTCTCCTACTTTAGCTGACTTCTTTGTGGACCTGGCCCGGGAAGCCCGAGCACGTCAGGCAGAGTCTGGGATTTGGGCCGTTTGACGGCAGATGAGACTGTTGACTTCATTACGGGCCCAGGTGTGCAGAAGGCGACCCTCAGCAGGACAGCAGCCACTACGTTTTGTTTCCATGAAAATTCAAATAAAAAGAAGATGGTATTTGGAAGCTGAATTCTGATAGGAACAAAAAACACGCTTTGGCTGCAAAGGCTGGTTAGATGCTGGAACATGATACTAAGAGGAACTTTGAATCTTCTTTATTTGTGAGACTTTACAAATGGTTTGTTGTCTCAGGGTTTAAATTAAAATAGATAAGTGGAGACTTTAATAACAGCCATCTGCGTGGAGCGTTTGGATTTGGTTTCTCTGGAGAAAGGCTGGATTAGATTATCTCTAGATGTCTCTTTTAGACATTTCCAGGAGGGGAAAGCTGCAGGTAAGGCAGGATGATAAAAGCCCTGTGAGCAGATAATCGAACAGCTTGAGGTGACTCCGTAGGCGGTCTGTGGCTGGTGCGCGATCTCGCTTGGCCCGTCCGTCGGACGGACCTCGGCGCCCGCCGCTTTCTCCGCGCTCCTTCTGTTCCAGCCTTGGCCTCGTTGCTGTTCCTCGAACAGGCCTTTCTGCCTGCCTCGTACCTCTGCTCCCTCTGCCTGGACGCTCCTCCCCTGCCCTTCATTTAGAACTCGCCTAGCTCACCTGCTCGGAGAGGCTGTGTGTGACCGCCTCCTCGACAGAGCCCGTGTCCCCGCGCTCCGCCGCCTCCTGCTCTGCTCTGCGGGACTTGGCGCTTACCTGCACCCGAGGCTGTAGTCTGTGCTTGTCCCTCAGGTGCTGGGACCTCGGCCTTCATCTGCCTCGTTTGCCGAGAGAATCCCAGGCGATAAGCAATTCCTGGCACATGGTAGAGGCTCACATATTTGTTGAGTGAACGATTGTCCAAATTTATCACGGAAATATATTTGCTGGGCACATGGTGGAAACTCAAATGTTTATTGGATGAATGAATGATTGTCTAAATGTATCATGAAAATATATTTACTGGGCTGGTTGTGCTTTATCTTATACAATAAAATTTGAGAAGTCTGGAATTCGTTTTTCATACCTCACGTCTGCAAAGGTGAATGTATAGCTTTTGTCCCTGTTACTCGGTGTTGGAGATCTGGAGAGCCGGTCACTCATTACTTCTCCGTCCCCTCCTGGCTTCTACTTGCGTATCGGCACTAAATGAGCCTGGGATGGACTGGTAAGTGTTTTATTAAGCAGAGCGTATGCCCAGTACCTACAGTGCTGGGGTTTCAGAGAAGGTAGATTTGAAGACCTGGATTCAGGAATGTCAGTGTAGTGCCTGCTTCTTCGGCAGGTCCCCCTCCCTCCATTGGAAAGCAGAGTAGATCTGACAAGGAGGGCCTGTGCCATGAAGCCCAAAACAGCCACAAGCAAGCCAAGAAAAGAAGGTGGAACTCGGTTTGTTCACACACTAGTTAAAGGTGGGAAATGGAGGCCCGGTGGATGTCGGAGCCGCTGGTGAGGCGGCACAGTCCCCCCGTCTGGAGAGGAATCAGCCGGCGGGGGGAGGAATGGAGAGGACGGCTCAGCTCCCACCCCAGTCGGGGCGCCGGGCAGGACACCCTCTCCTATGGAGCAAGAGGATGGGCTGCACCTGTGGTTGTCCCCTCAGCAACTGCAGTTGCCACACGTGCATTCAGATAAACCTACACATAAATAATCGTGGCCGGAGGAGAGCTGTCAGCATAGGACGCTTCTGAGAGTTGATTGAAATTGTGANGTGTGTGGGTGTGTTGGGGGTATGTGTACATGTATGTGTGGGGGTGGGGGTTGTGTATGTGGGGTGTGTGTGTGTGTATGTGGGGTGTGTGTGTGTGTGGAGGGGTAGGGGTGTGTGTGAGTGGGGTGTGTATGTGTGTGTGGGTGTGTTGGGGGTATGTGTACATGTATGTGTGGGGGTGGGGGTTGTGTATGTGGGGTGTGTGTGTGTGTATGTGGGGTGTGTGTGTGTGTGGAGGGGTAGGGGTGTGTGTGAGTGGGGTGTGTATGTGTGTGTGGGTGTGTTGGGGGTATGTGTACATGTATGTGTGGGGGTGGGGGTTGTGTATGTGGGGTGTGTGTGTGTGTATGTGGGGTGTGTGTGTGTGTGGAGGGGTAGGGGTGTGTGTGAGTGGGGTGTGTATGTGTGTGTGGGTGTGTTGGGGGTATGTGTACATGTATGTGTGGGGGTGGGGGTTGTGTATGTGGGGTGTGTGTGTGTGTATGTGGGGTGTGTGTGTGTGTGGAGGGGTAGGGGTGTGTGTGAGTGGGGTGTGTATGTGTGTGTGGGTGTGTTGGGGGTATGTGTACATGTATGTGTGGGGGTGGGGGTTGTGTATGTGGGGTGTGTGTGTGTGTATGTGGGGTGTGTGTGTGTGTGGAGGGGTAGGGGTGTGTGTGAGTGGGGTGTGTATGTGTGTGTGGGTGTGTTGGGGGTATGTGTACATGTATGTGTGGGGGTGGGGGTTGTGTATGTGGGGTGTGTGTGTGTGTATGTGGGGTGTGTGTGTGTGTGGAGGGGTAGGGGTGTGTGTGAGTGGGGTGTGTATGTGTGTGTGGGTGTGTTGGGGGTATGTGTACATGTATGTGTGGGGGTGGGGGTTGTGTATGTGGGGTGTGTGTGTGTGTATGTGGGGTGTGTGTGTGTGTGGAGGGGTAGGGGTGTGTGTGAGTGGGGTGTGTATGTGTGTGTGGGTGTGTTGGGGGTATGTGTACATGTATGTGTGGGGGTGGGGGTTGTGTATGTGGGGTGTGTGTGTGTGTATGTGGGGTGTGTGTGTGTGTGGAGGGGTAGGGGTGTGTGTGAGTGGGGTGTGTATGTGTGTGTGGGTGTGTTGGGGGTATGTGTACATGTATGTGTGGGGGTGGGGGTTGTGTATGTGGGGTGTGTGTGTGTGTATGTGGGGTGTGTGTGTGTGTGGAGGGGTAGGGGTGTGTGTGAGTGGGGTGTGTATGTGTGTGTGGGTGTGTTGGGGGTATGTGTACATGTATGTGTGGGGGTGGGGGTTGTGTATGTGGGGTGTGTGTGTGTGTATGTGGGGTGTGTGTGTGTGTGGAGGGGTAGGGGTGTGTGTGAGTGGGGTGTGTATGTGTGTGTGGGTGTGTTGGGGGTATGTGTACATGTATGTGTGGGGGTGGGGGTTGTGTATGTGGGGTGTGTGTGTGTGTATGTGGGGTGTGTGTGTGTGTGGAGGGGTAGGGGTGTGTGTGAGTGGGGTGTGTATGTGTGTGTGGGTGTGTTGGGGGTATGTGTACATGTATGTGTGGGGGTGGGGGTTGTGTATGTGGGGTGTGTGTGTGTGTATGTGGGGTGTGTGTGTGTGTGGAGGGGTAGGGGTGTGTGTGAGTGGGGTGTGTATGTGTGTGTGGGTGTGTTGGGGGTATGTGTACATGTATGTGTGGGGGTGGGGGTTGTGTATGTGGGGTGTGTGTGTGTGTATGTGGGGTGTGTGTGTGTGTGGAGGGGTAGGGGTGTGTGTGAGTGGGGTGTGTATGTGTGTGTGGGTGTGTTGGGGGTATGTGTACATGTATGTGTGGGGGTGGGGGTTGTGTATGTGGGGTGTGTGTGTGTGTATGTGGGGTGTGTGTGTGTGTGGAGGGGTAGGGGTGTGTGTGAGTGGGGTGTGTATGTGTGTGTGGGTGTGTTGGGGGTATGTGTACATGTATGTGTGGGGGTGGGGGTTGTGTATGTGGGGTGTGTGTGTGTGTATGTGGGGTGTGTGTGTGTGTGGAGGGGTAGGGGTGTGTGTGAGTGGGGTGTGTATGTGTGTGTGGGTGTGTTGGGGGTATGTGTACATGTATGTGTGGGGGTGGGGGTTGTGTATGTGGGGTGTGTGTGTGTGTATGTGGGGTGTGTGTGTGTGTGGAGGGGTAGGGGTGTGTGTGAGTGGGGTGTGTATGTGTGTGTGGGTGTGTTGGGGGTATGTGTACATGTATGTGTGGGGGTGGGGGTTGTGTATGTGGGGTGTGTGTGTGTGTATGTGGGGTGTGTGTGTGTGTGGAGGGGTAGGGGTGTGTGTGAGTGGGGTGTGTATGTGTGTGTGGGTGTGTTGGGGGTATGTGTACATGTATGTGTGGGGGTGGGGGTTGTGTATGTGGGGTGTGTGTGTGTGTATGTGGGGTGTGTGTGTGTGTGGAGGGGTAGGGGTGTGTGTGAGTGGGGTGTGTATGTGTGTGTGGGTGTGTTGGGGGTATGTGTACATGTATGTGTGGGGGTGGGGGTTGTGTATGTGGGGTGTGTGTGTGTGTATGTGGGGTGTGTGTGTGTGTGGAGGGGTAGGGGTGTGTGTGAGTGGGGTGTGTATGTGTGTGTGGGTGTGTTGGGGGTATGTGTACATGTATGTGTGGGGGTGGGGGTTGTGTATGTGGGGTGTGTGTGTGTGTATGTGGGGTGTGTGTGTGTGTGGAGGGGTAGGGGTGTGTGTGAGTGGGGTGTGTATGTGTGTGTGGGTGTGTTGGGGGTATGTGTACATGTATGTGNACTCACTGGACATCTGCCAAACGAAACAGCAGCCTCGGCCGGTCCGTATGTTTCTGGGGAAGCAGGGGTGTTAATCCAGGCCTGTTCCACACCTGTTAATAAGAAAGCAGACACTTACCCCAAAACGCTGTGTTCTAACCTGATGCTTTCCGAGTGGCTGCTGCTGGCCTCACGGTAAACGCGGGGGCCTTTGTGTTCCAGGTTCGTGGGCGCCAGGGGGAGGTCCTGTACATTTTGGACGCCACTAACCCGCGACACTCCAACTGGCTTCGCTTCGTCCACGAGGCGCCGTCGCAGGAGCAGAAGAACCTGGCCGCCATTCAGGTGAGCGGATTTGCTTCTCATGTGCGCTGTGCTCCGTGAGGGGCTCGCCCTCATTTCTGACTGCCCCCCGTTTCCAGATGATTTCCCGACGACCTGCTTCGGAAACAGTAAGTAGCTGAGAGAGCAGAGCCATCTCTGCCGTCGGCGCGTGCAGGAGAGGGCGCGCCCGGAGTTGACCCAGCTCCCTCTTTATGGGGACTCCGGGCGATGAATTACAGGCTCTCATGCTGTCAGGCTCCGTAAATTCATTCCCTGAATGTTTACTGGTGCTGTTTTAATTTGGTGGCTTATTTGGCTCACAGCACAATAGCCTGTGTTAGTGTTTGGTAAAGGCTTTCTGGAGAAAGTTTACTTGGGTGTATCCCCACAACTAGACTTTGAACTTCTTAGGGATAGTGTGTGTGTCAGGGTTCTCCAGAGAAACAGCCAGTAGGGTCTATGTCTGTCTGTCTGTCTGTCTAACTTCCTAGCTCCCTACCTAGAGACAGAGAGAGGCACAGAGATTTATTATAAGGAATCGGCTAATGCGGGGATGGAGGCTGGCAAGGCCGAAATCCGCGGAGCCGATCGCCCGCTTTGTGTCCAGAATCCACGGGCTGCTCTGAATCCAGGAGGAGCCGATGTCCTGCTTCTCAGGCTGTGAGGCTGGAAGGGCAGGTGTCCCAGGGGGTTCATCAGGCAGGACAATTCCCCTTACTCGGGAGGATCACCCTTTGGTTCCGTTCAGGCCTTTCACTGATCGGACGAGGCCCACTCACACTGGAGGGCAGTCTGCTTTCCTCAAGCCCATCTATTTAATTGTCAGTCTCTTGCAAAAATATCCTTACAGAAACACCCAAAATAATGTTTGGACAACTACCTGGGCACCCAGTGGCCCAGTCAAGTTGACACACAAAGTAAACCATCCCAGGTGGGAACCGTGGTTTTTGAATTCTGTGTTCCCCTCGTCTAACCTAGTGCCGCGTGTAGCGTTAGGCCCGATGCAAAGTATGAGTTGGACTGAGATGATCCCTCGGTGGGAATTAAAGAAGAGAAGATGGTTAAGGCGAGAGGTTTTCGGAGGGGCTCTGTTATTAAAACTCACTGAGCAGATGATTAGGAGAATAAGGAAATACTACCTTCTGCTGAGGAATCGGTCATGATTCCAGCTCCTGGATTTTAAACTGCAGAAGAGAGAAGGGAAAAGACTAAGGGAGCTCACATTTCTTTGAGTATTTACCTTATGCCACGTTCTAGAATCTTCACATACGTGATGTCATTTATTCCTAAAACCTCTGAGGGTTTAATATTTACCGAGCATTATGCTGATGTCACTCAATTTCAAGTATGAAACCAACAGTGGCAAGAGGAAAAATGCACAGAATTAGGTTTAAAAGTAATCAGAAGACACACATAGAGAAAATTCCATTTCCTGATGTCATTAGCTGTCCACGTTTTTTCAGTCCAAATAGTATTGGATAACCAGTGTGGTTACCGTCTCTTTTTGTGGAAAAATGAGCGGTGACTCTTTCTGGAGGATTGACTTGGGTGGGAAATAGGACCTTTTGGCAGCCAGATATATTCAGACCACTTTTAAAATTATTTATGACTTCATTAATCTGATTGATCCAGCCACAAATCTACATGGATCTTTTTTTAATGTGTAGACATTCATTTTTTTTCAAGTACCTTACATGTTTTTTGTAGTTGCCTGAGGCAGACTCTTCTCCCAGGATCTCAGTTATGTCATCATTTTAATTTACACAATCAGTCTGTGTTTCTTCCCAAATGTTACTAATTTCAAAATTGCCTGTAGAACTATGAAATTTACTTTGCTAACCTGTTGTTCTGTAGGTTTCTTAATATTGGGCTTTAAATAATATTCTTTTCCAACTAGATTCTTTTCTCCTTATGCCCACACTGATGTCGAGCTTTCCTTGAATTCCTTTAGTCGAGGGAGGTTTTCCTCGTTCCTGTTTTTTCCCCGTGGCATTGGTAGCTCTCACATTGGCCTGGACTTCAGGGTGCTACGTGCTGAGCTTGGAGTTTTGCTTCAGAACCCCGCAGGCCACCCTGGTCTCCTTCACACATTTCCTCATAGTGACCCCTTCGGAGAACGGATGCTCTGTCAGTCAGTGTGCGTCTAGCTCCATCTATTTCCCACAGTTACCCCCTTGTATTCTTTATTTATTTCGTGATACTGTAACCTCCTACAGGTCTATCTTTTTAAAAAATTTATTATTATTTTTAATCCTCACCTGAAGATATACTCATTGATTTTATTTATTACTTAAAAAATATACCTTTATTTATTTCAGAGACAGGAAGGGAGAGAGAAACATCAATGATGAGAATCATTGACCGGCGGCCTCCTGCATGTCCCGCAACCTGGGCCTGTGCCCTGACCGGGAATCGAACTTCGATCTCCTGGATCCTAGGTCGATGCTCAACCACTGAGCCACACCGGCTGGACTTTACTCATTGATATTAGAGAGAGAGGGAGGGAGAGAGAGAGAAACATAGATGCGGGAGAAAAACATCGATCGGCAGCCTAGGTCTGTGCCCTGAGCGGGAATTGAACCCACAGCCTTTTGGTGCATGGGATGGCGATCCAACCACCTGAGCCACCTGGCAGTGGCCGGTCTCCCTGAGTAACCCCAGATTTCAAGACCTACCCAGTGTTCGTGTTTGTGCAGTGCACCCTGGCAGTACTTTTCTTCCTCTGTATCAGTTGTGCTCCTTTCCTTGAAGAAAACAGGGGTCGATAGAAGACAACTCCCCCACGTCAGTGCTCCAAGAGATTACTGCTCCACCTAGGGAGGGGGTGAGATGGGTGGGATCAGAGGCTCTGGGAAGCTTCACACTTGAACTTAATTAGAATCTACGTCTGTTCAGAGGCATGTCAGCGTCTTTGGTGCGGAAGCGATGACAGAGCCTTAATTCCCTTTAACCCTGTTTTGCCCTTTGCTGGGAGGGAGGAGGAGTGCACTGTGACCGCGTTTCTTTCCATGGAGCAAGATGTGGATCTTCGTTAGCTCCCCGGTGGCCACGTTTTCCCTACCTGAACAGTAGCTGGAGTAGCAGATTGCTCAGGGCTCAAAATCACATCCGCCCTGGGGGCAGAGAGCTAAGATTTGGGTCACATGGCTGACAGTGGTCAGCCTTCCTATTGGTGGGGGCAGCCTCCTGAGGGTTGCATTCCAGAAACACTGAGCTGGTAAGAGGAGATCATAATGTGTCCTGCATAACATTATGAATCACTCGCTTTCCAAATTGCATCTGAAATTTGGGGTATTCAGGAAATTTTTTATTTGAGCTGTGTGTCCCAGGAGTGGCGTAAATGAGAACCATTTGTGGCTATGTGGCTTTCTTGATGGAAAACGTCAATACTTGGTCCAATTTTTTCTGGATGAGGGATTAAGAATTTGAGGTCTGTTTTCGCAGAGGATTGGAACTTCTTTTTGGGGACTCGGTTATATTTCTAGCTTTGCAGTTATTTGATTTTGGCAAATTTGCTTTGGAAATGATGACTGAAAACATCTGAGTTATTGACGAGGGATCTGGTAGGCAAGCAGTGCTACCCACTGGCACACATCTCAGAATGATCAGGTGAACTGTTTGTTCAGACTTCTGAAATCAATTTCCAAGTAAATCAGAAAATTCCAGCTATGAAAGATGTGGCTTAAAATGAACCAGAAGAACCCTTAAGCTCTATGAGAAATGGGTGATTCTTATTAAATGTTAATGTTGTTACTCTAAAGGGAAAATGTATATGTAAGATTTGAAAAGATACTTGACCTCAGCGTTTCGCTGGCTTTCAAAAATTTCTGATCTTTAGTGACAGAAGACTATTTGCTTAAATACGGAATTAGGTGAAACTTTGAATTCTTGGGACATTTCAGAGAGAGTGTTACATCTCCTGTGTTCTTAAGTATATATTTTCCAGATCTTCCCTGGGACGCTTTGCAAAATCTTGTCAATGTAAATGAAACGTGGCTTGGTGTTCTAAGAAAACGCAGCCTGTGGAAAACCAGCTGGGGCACGGTCGCCTCGTAAGGGGTGTCAGGCTGCAGGGATGGTCTGAATGAGTCGAAAGGGCACCGGGCCTTGTGGTTTCAGCAGGGCTCCACCCCAGTTCTGAAGTCAGTTTGGATCCCGTTACCAGGAGACCTATTTGATGACTTAGTATTTGCCGTCAAGCTCTGTCTCCTGTGAGAATGGAGACTCAGGCAGTTTTCCCAGCGCCTTTTCTGGCGACATTTCAATATGGCAGAGCTGGGAGGTGGACTGCGAGTCTCCACACAGAGCAGCAGTGTGGATGCTGTTGAGCACGGTGAGGACTGTCTCCGTGGTCATCAGCCCCGAGGTCCCCCAGGAGCGTCCATGCAGAATTCAGGTAGCGGGGTACCAACCACACAGCCAAGCAACCAGCCGACAAAAAGAAATATCAGAACAGCCCCAAACTATAGTTGCCTCTAATTGTTTCTTTTCTGTTTGTTTCTTAACATATTTATACAAATACATTTCTATAATATTTTCTAGATTGTCTTTTGTAGAATAGTAAGATGTAACTGTCTAGTAATTTTCTTCAATAATACCATAAAAATATCAATTAAATAGCTTGCAGATCTGCCTTTTTAAAAAAATTTATCTTTATTGTTGAGAGTATTACAGAAGTCCTCTTTTTTCCCCATTGCCCCCTCCACCCTGCACCTGCCCCCCGAGGCCTTCACCACGCTATTGTCTGTGTCCATGGGTTATGCATATGTGCATATAAATTATTTGATTAATCTCTTCCCAATCCCCCCCCCTTCCCTCTGAGATCCCCCAGTCTGTTCCATGCTTCTATGTCTCTGGATCTGTTTTGCTCATCGGTTTATTGTTTTCATTAGATTCCACATATGAGTAAGATCATGTGACACTTGTCTTTCTCTGACTGGCTTATTTCACTTAGCTTGTGATATCTTCCAGTAAGGTGTGGATTTGTCTTTCAGTAGGGTGAAAGTTAGCCAAAGTAAAGT